CCAGGAGCCGACCACTTTTGAGGATTACGCTGCCCGGGTCTACAGTCCTGCACCCTACACTCACCTGCCTTCTGACACAGGTAAGACCAGAAACATTTTTAACCCTCCACAGGATCCTCCTCATTATATTTGGATTATAAAACTGCTTGGTTTTGCTACAGGAATTCTACTCATAACAGTGGATAATTAATTTCCCTAATATATAGAGAATCCTCTTCACTCAGCCTGGCAGCTCAGTCTGCTTTCCAGACACAGTTTTCTATTCAAAGCTGTGTTCAGCCTTATTCTCTCTCCAGAGCATCACTGGGGAGTTAGGCAGCATCTGATGGGTAATAGATGTGCCAGCCAAACACATGGGAATCATATGTGTGCCTCTTATAATGATCATTACTCTGATTGAACCACAGAGAACAATCTAAGTATTTTATCTTGGGAGTCATGCTTAGTTGTGATTATTTAAAATAACAAAAATTTCAACGGCTTCTGCAGGAATAACATTCATTAAACCAAAGAAAGCATCTTGAAGCAGAACAATTTTGCTTTTTTTAAATGTAGTAAATCTAAAGTGATATCATGGAAAATGTGTGATTATTTGGGTTTTATTTTTCTCTAAATACTTTCCTGCTCCCTCATTTTACTTGCTCTTTAAAAACATCAATATATTATACAAAAATCATCCTAATCACAACCTGCTTTGATGCTGAATTACATCTGACGTAACCCGATTCACCTGCACCAACCCCTGCCCGTAAATTAGTGCACTATAATACGTCAGATGTAATTAGCTCTGTGTTGGTACTTTGTGTTCAGCTCCAGTTGGAAACTTCAAGGCACAAGATCAGAAAGTTAAGATTTAAATTTTGGCGTAAGCCCAAATATTTCTCCAAATTCATAATGAAATCTGGACATTAAAGGTCCTGTGCTTTGAAATTGATGCTTTGACTTTCTGTCTTTTTTATATGCCGTGCCCCTTACCTTAACAGTACAGTGATGACTTTCTCTTTTTCTGGTTTTGTTTATTTGTTTTTTTTTATAATTTATTTTTTTATTTCTACCATTTCTATTTTTTTTTTTTTTTTTGTTCTTACTTTTTATTTTCGTTTTATTTTCTTTTTTTTTCTGTTCCCCTCTTTCCTTTAGATCGTTTTGTCTCACTGTATAGCTAAAAGGTAAGCCTGGTTACATGATTGAAACACTTTTCTTTGATTGGCTCTTACTTTTCAGCCTAACTTTCTCTCTCCTTCGATTCCTCCACCATATTCTGTCTTTGTGGTTCCTGTGTGGTTTTGAAATCCAACCAGGTCTGCATGTTAACACAAGTGGCCTATTTTTATTTTTTAAGGAGATGTCACTTTCTGCTCCTCATGTAGTTTGATAAGACCGTAACTTCTGAATGCTCCCCTGTTTTTTCTTAAAGCTTGCTTCATTAATTTGGACCCAAACTTAATTCACCTGAGGGATATCAAACTGCTCTGAAATGAAAGTGAGACTTCCTTCTGTAAAAATGAGACGTTTTGAGCTCTCCTCTGTTCACCTCCTTGGTATTTTCATAACCAGAAGCATTATTCTGACCTGGTCTAACCTGACCTCTAACCTTGCTGTTTCAAATCGTCCTAGTTTTTATATGACGCTAAACTGCTCGCTTACACAAACAAGCAGGCTGCAATACAAAACGACCTATCCTGCAATCGTATATAAGCTGTCTTGAATGTACTAACATTAAACTGATCTTGTCTAACTTGTAGTATTTGTGTAAATTGTAAAAAAAAAAAAAAAAAAAAAGGGTTATTTTCTTTTTATTGTAAAAAGGTTAGTTGATTTTGTTTTGTTCTTTTTTGGATGTTTTCAGATTCTCTTCGTCATATAGGTGCCTCTTTCTCATTCATTTGTGTGTGTTTTCTTTTTTCCCCCTTTCAAACTCTTTTGTCTTCCTTGTTTTGCCCACTCCTTTATTTCCTTACCTTTTGTCGCTTTTTTTGCCTTTGTTTAATTTTTCTTCCTTCCACATTGTGATCCATACCTGTTATTTGCTTTTCTTCCCAATTTTGACACCGCCTTTCCTTTCCTTTCCTTTACCTTTCTCCCTCTCTTTACCTTTCACATCTAATTTTGTCCTGCTCCTGTTTTTTTTAACTGTCCTCTTCTTCTCCGGCTTTATTTAACCTTACATTACTTAATTACAATTACACTTTAACATACCTGACCTTTCTTGAGTTTATTTTCCCTTATATTTCCTCTACTTTTCTTTATTCCATTTCCTTCACTCAACTATAACTTGAATTCCTATTTTAAATGATATTTATGTTCCCCATCTTCACTTTTCTTTACTTCCCTTTCCTGTCGGTTTTCCTCTTTTCTTTTTGCTCCCTCATTTGTCGTTACCACTCTCCTCTTCAGAGGATCATAGTGTTTTGTATCTTATGGTCCCTAAACCCGTTGACAGCTTAAACCAGCTCAGGGTGAAGGGCCGAGGTTTAAAGCAGAAGGTCCTTCATGCAGGCTGTGAATGGTATGAATTGTCGTCTTGTAGCATTTCCTGCTTTTTTTATGCTGTTACCTTTCCACTAAACGCCATAAACTGCAACAGATTTTGTTTTATAAGTTGAATATGTCTTTATTTAATGTTAAAAATACATCTGACTAATCTGGCTATTAGCATGTTCTTTGGATTTAGGGAACAAAGATACAGGATGATGTTTGAGCGTCTAGAGCCTTTTGTAGAAGTTTGATGTTTGTCTTTCCGTGTAGCTGTCTGTCCTCTTTGGCTGTCTGTCAGACGTAGTTCGCCTTAGTTGACCTTTAATGGATAAGAAGCAGTTTTTCATGTTGTCCCCTTATCCTTTTTCTGCTTATCCACCCACCTTTGCATCAAATTCCATCCCCCCCTCTTTCTCCTCCAACTCTTTAGGCTCCTGCCTAGAGATTCTTCGGGGAGAAAGTCCGGCTCTTGGGGAGGTCGGGAGCGAGTCGGCGTCCCCCATATCTCCACGAACTAGCAAGACTCGCATGTCGATGAAGCTCCGACGGTCCTCTGGATCCGCCAATAAGACTTGAGTCTCTTCACTTTAAACACTTCCTAATCACTGATATCACTTAAATTAAAACGTTTAATTTCACATCTCATATCCATCAGGGGGTGGACAAAAGGCTGTTTTTCTGCCCGGCTCCTGCACTGAACACACACATGCAAATATACATCTGATATGCTCCCACTGTATGAATCTGCAGCTTTGCTTTAAAAAAAAAAAAAACACTCATCCCAGTGCTGCTGAAAGCGTTGAATGATAGCCTGTGCAGTATTAGTTCATACCAACATGTGCCATGCGGAAAGGTGAGCAAACAAACACCTGTGGAACCAGGACTGCAAAACCATTTAAAAAATAAAGCGTGCTACATCATACACTGTGTTAAAGAGAATTTTTTTGGTTTATAAAACCAGAACAAATGTCAGGGAAAAATATTTTTTGTTGAATACAGACCTATCTGTGGAAGTTAAAATGGTTCACAAATCCCTTTTTCCTGTTTTATTCCACCTTGCCCCTTCAAATACGAAATGTTTAAATTCAGAAATGTCTTAGGAGGCACTTTGAAAGCTTACTTGTTTGTAGGTCATGCTGTCAACTTTAGACAAGCACTGATATTACATTTTTTTCTCTTGTTTTTTTTTAAATTGTGATTTCACTTGAACTAAATTTCCATATGCTGTATTTCTATTTTTCCCTCCAAATACACCATTGCTTTTTTTTCTGTATGTATGCTTTTGATTATAAATGTGTATTCTGTATATCTATACAAGTATATATATATCTATATATATCGAGAGAGAGATTAGATACATGGATATCTATGAGAGTATGTACAGTGTGACGAAGCTTGTTGTGTAAATAAGATTATGAGAAAAGCTGCCAAAGCCAAACCTGTGGTTTAACCTCAAAGCATGTGTTTGCTATAAATACAAACATAGGTCAACACTACAGAATGTTTAACTTTAATATAAACTTTTCATTCATCAGTTGGAAATTTAGAGATGATTCCCTTAGCTCAAAACTCTGGTTTAACTTTCTTTACTCAGAATCCAACCTATTCTAGCCACAAATGTGGGCTTTTAAGATTTTTAAATCCAGTCTTTCACTTGCTAATAAATGGGTCATTTTTTCTGGTGGAGCTGTTCCATCAGAAAATTTAGAAACGGAAACAAAAAATCAGGTTGCAGCAGATTGACAAAGAGTAGAAGGGAAAAGTCAATTTAGACTCTTTACTCTTCAGCAATATGCTCTCAGTTTAGAGATGTTCCCCTTCCCATATCCATTGTCAAAGGGAATGTAGTTCATTTTGATTAAATGCCATTCTTTCACGAGTTGAGATCAATCCTTTGTGTTTAAGAAATAAGTGCTAGCCATTTAAATTATTGCTGCAGGTTTCAAAGCACAGTTTATTGTTAAGGCGTGTAGAAAACTCATCTCAATGCTCTGGCACAGCACTCATCTTTCATAATGCCAATCATGCAAATCTATGTGATAATTATGCTTTTTTGTGATCAGTTACAATAATTCACAGTTGAAACCCTAACGATGTTACTTTTGTTGTCAGATAAGAAAGTATTTTTTTTTCCTTCATTAACATCTGCAGCATAATTAGCAATGTAGGCTCTGGATGTCCAAATGTTGGCTGGTGTTTGTAACTACTGATGTTAAAAAAAATGCATTTCAGCACTAACTGCATGTAAGCAACAGACACATGCTTTGAAACAGACTTGTTGAAAGTGTAACTGTATCTTCAAAACAACCACAAAATAAAAAAGTATCAATGTGCAACAATGGACTTAAACAATAAAGGATTTGTACCTGTGATGCCCCAATGTTTATTAATATGACAAAACCATGATCATAATAGTTTATTGGTTGATAGTAGAATCGATTATACATTGAACATAGAACATATTAAAATAGACCTATACATAGTTCTAGGAGATGCAGTTGTATTTTTAACTGCATAGACATTTTACTGACATGAATTCTGTTGCGAAATGTTTTGTTTCTGTATGAAAATAGCATAGAACTAATACATTATCAAAACAGTACCTTCATTTTTTTAAATATACTTCATAGGGAATTGAATCAGGTTGATTTCAATCCACACAGGTTTACTTGTTAGTACCATGGACAGCGACGCTGACTCCATTATAATCTCTTCATGAACATTTTTAGAGTTTATTGTTATTACAGAAAGGTTTGTTTTGTATTTAGCAGATACAATTTTTTTTTTATTTTTATTAAAGGCACAGTGACACAGTTCAGTCCTAATCCACAACGAAATAAAATCTACATTTAGGTCTAGAGTCCTGTCATTAATAAGTGGTCAGTATTTTATGGTCGTACTGTCATCTGCAGCAGCATCACCTGCCGGTTCTCGGTGGGGTGAGACTTGTTGATGTGTCTCGTGAGCCCCGGGGAGCTGAAAAATGTAGACGGACAGTACTTGCACGTGAAGATCTGTTGCTGCTCGCGCTCTCCGCCGCTGCCCTCCTCTCTGTGTGCGTGGAAACCATCTGCTGCCAGCGCTCCGCCGAGTGTTTCTGCCAGAAGCTCGTCCCTCATCGCGTGCCACACTCGGTGCTTGTCCCGGATTTCCACTGAAGGAAACCGTGCGCCGCACAGGTGACACAGGAACACCTGAGCGCTCTGGACACTGCCGTTGTCGCGCGCCTGGGTGTAAGACGGTGTTGGTGAAGCGCGTGCGGTCATTTCATGCGCGGCCAGATGCTTTTTCAGATAAGCCTGCCGACGGAACTTCTTTCCGCAGTAGCGGCACTCGTATAATTCTTCCTCCGGTATGGACCGGACGAAGGTTAACGGCGGCTGCTGGTGCTGCTGCTCCCCGGGGTTCAGCATTAGGAGTCCGGATGGAGGGCTATCTGCGGCTCTCACGTGCTGCTGAAGGTCTGGGTTCCGGTAGTTAGAGGAGGAGGAATCGGCGCTGTCCCGGGTCCTACCGTGAAGCAGCAGCACCCGGGAGCTGTCCAGGTGCTGATTAGTGTGCGCGCGAAGAAGCTCATTCTCCTTCCCCTCCAAGTCCACCGACTGCCGCTCGTGCGCAGCGAATACTCGCCCCTCCTTCAGCGTCTGGGTCCGGTTCGTGTGACCTTCTGCCCCCTGGTTGTTCACCGGACGTGGTTTGTGCCAGCGCCTGTGGGAGGCCAGGTTAGCGGGACAGCTGAAGACTTTGTCGCATTCGGGGCAGCGGTACTCTACGCGCACTATGCGGGAGCATTTGTGCTGCGCCAGGGAGAAAGGATCGGGGTACTCCTCTTTACAGAGCTGGCAGATGAACTCTCCAAGCGGCTGAGTTCCGGTGGGAGCAGACCTCCTCAGCTCCGGACTCTCCTTCTTAATGCGCAGACCTAGAACCGGCGACGTGGTTACCTCATCCTCGAAGTTCTGTCTGCGGTTTGGTTTGGGTTTCTTGCCCTGCTTGCTGCTGAGTTTGTTCTGGTTATCCGGCTCAAGATACGAGCGCTTTCTCGCTGCGTGCTCCTGACCCATCCGGGTCAATGATGGAAACAAGTGTGCATGAGCCAGATTCGGGTCGTTTTTGTCAATGTGTCTATAGAGCCGGTTGCTGCTGGTCCCGTTCGCCAGGAGCCTCTCGATGGAAGCGGGGATGGAGGTCGGAGCGGCGCTCACCAGGAACGGTAGGTCCGGCAGCTCAGGCACCGAGGAGCACAGCTGCTGTTCGGTCTCCACCTGCTGGTCCAACAGTCTTGTTCCGACCGGTTTGACTGGACTGCAGGACTTTAGAGTCTGCTCATGTGGGGGTGGATGTTGGTAGAAATAGGAGTAGTTCCCTTCCACGTTCAAAACCTCCACTTCGGTCTCCGGTAACTGCGCGCGGCGGTCAGCCTCCGCCTCCAGCGCGGGCTCCACGTGGGGGCTCCACGCCTCCCTGGCCGGATCCTCGCGGGGCTCTGGTGATGCTCCGTCGGGATGCTGGACGTGGAGTCCCATTGAGCCATGGTTCTCGGCGCCGTTTGGGTCACAGTTGGATGATTCGGGTTTGGCGGTGCCGTCGCCTCTGGAGCGGTAAGTTGCTGAACCTCGACGGTTCCTCTTTACCAAAAATCCTCGAGGCATCGTGATGATGGTGAAGATGTTGGGGACAACTCGCGTCTGGAGACTGATTTTTTAAAGCGCAGCTTTGAAGTGGAGAGGGAGGGATGGAAAGGCGCGCGCAGGTTGGATGAGCGCACGGAAGAGAGCGAGAAAGCAATATTTGTTTTTCTGTCTCTAATTAGTTCAAACTCTGGGGACGACATATTTCCAGGCTTTGACACTGAAGCATTCATCAAAGCAACTAGCTTCACTCAAAGTATAAAGTTGTTTAAATAAACCAAAACGAGTTTTTATTTTTTGCCAACCATTGCCTTTTGGATTATTTTCTTTAAATAAATGTTTTGATATGAACTGTTTAGAGGTGAACTACACACTTAAAATTCATATTAAGTAGAGTATCATGGATATGTTTAGTTTTATTGTACAATAAAAGTCAGACTTAAATATTGATTCATACCCTCAACATTCCAATCGTCTATATTCTGATCAATGAGATGGACATAGCTAAAAGCCAAAGAAAACTCTAAACTCTTTAATGATGTCCCCTAAAGCAGTGTAATGTGATAGTAGATAGACTTGGTATTGAATATTTAGAGTTAGATTGAGCTTAGATCAGCTTACTGTACATGTCTGGATTTAATCAAAGTAAATCTACACCAGGACTCTTCAAGTACTCCTTGACTGTTTTAAACGTCTGTTCAGAACCTCATAAGTCTGATTTTTTGTCTTTCCACTTCCCCAACATATTGTTGGGAAAGTGGTTTTCCATAATATAAATTTACTCCTAAAATAACTTTACAGTCAATATATATCTGTAAGTTCTGCATCTTGAGGCACCAGCTTCTGCATCATAACCTCTAAATCCTCTCAAACTCCATATTCCTGTTACTTTGCCCCTTTTTTGTGTCACTCAAATTTCTTTTAATGTGCTTAGATATAGTATTTCTAAACAGTCGGATCGCTTAGCTATGTCTGTACCTTATGTTGCACTTTCTCCATTTCAAACATGTCAACAACTTCTTCTAGACTGAGGTCAAGTTAACAGGATTCTCAATGATTAATGGCCATATAATTTGTAAACCGCATTTTCCATTGCTTATTTCGTTTTTATTTGTTTATTTTAGAACATGATTTCATTTTAGCTTGAAGATATAATCACTACCAATAAACAACGGTAAATAATCTATAGGATAAGTATCCCCCACCACCAAAAAAAGGGGGAGAAAACATAAGTCTAAGATAACTTTTTTTTTTTTTTTTTTTTTTTTTTGCAAAACAACAAAATATAAGATAGTAAAATATTTCCTGGGGGAGATGTTTTGTAGGGTTATTTTAAGGTTTTTGATTTTGTTTGTGTAGTTTATTTTGCTACATTTTGTGTTTTCCTTGACCAAACGTCAAATTACTGTAAAGAAACCGTTTTTTTCTAAATTAGTATTTAAACTGAAAATAATAGAAAATAAAGGAAATAGTTTTTTATGTTTTGTTATTTTTTCCCTGCAGATCTCAGTCATACACCCACTTTTCTATTCGCTGTGTTTTCTTGATTACTTCTTTTCTCTGAGTGTTTTATGACTATGCTGGGTGCATTTTGCCAGTCTTACTAATTAGGAGTTTCTCCATGGGTTTGGGTATACCTGCCACCTACCAAGAGAAAAACCAGAACCATTTCGTCGTGGGTTTCAGTGTGCAAAGAGAAACTGCACCCATGGGGATTCGGATCCAGATCGTATCTCTTTTAATACCACTAATAACCGTTTCTGAGCCGCTGATGTGTGAGAAGACCGTGGGCATTGCTTTTCTCTTCAATGGGTCCCATGAGAATCTGCTGTAGCTGATAACAGATCGGAAAGAGACCCATGCTTCTGTCAAAGCTTGAGCCCTTCGGGCCATGCGGGGCCCTTGTGCGGAGTCCCTAGCCAGGAGCTTTGCAACCCAACTACACGGGTTCTGTGCCTGGAAAAGGGGCGACAACTGTGGGCCGCAGCTTTCATTAGTGTTTTATGATACCTCATTAATAGAAGCTATTGCTGTACATTATTGTGATGCAGATTGTATTATATTCAAATTGTGCTTTTGTGCTCTAAGGCAGGGGCAGATATAGAGGGGTGGCCACAGGGGGGCATGCACCTGGACATCTGGCACTTCATGCAGCGTTTTACCGCAGGAGTCCTCACTGAGGCTCAGTGGCTCTAAGTTCCACAGAAATGCATAACTCTGCAGTCATTGGTTGCATCATAGATGGACAGGAAGCTGAGTACAGGGAGCTGATGAACTGCTTTGTGGCATGGTGTGGAAACAATCATCTGATCCTAAATGTTAACCAAACAAGGGAGATGATTGTAAATTTCAGAAGAAACAGGAACAAGTTGAGACCAATAGACAGTATTTATGTTGATATCTCATTGGACGGGGTCTGCCTATGCTGTGAATGAGTCAGAGGGACCGCCTTGTTGAATGTGGCAAATCTGCTAATTGACTCAGACACTTAAACAGTATCAGAGGGACTTTAATCTCAGAATATACTTTATATTCATGATATTTTTATTTTTGTATCCCTTTGGCTTCATTCTCCTGACTTTATTCTTATAAAGAATAGAAATAATTAAAAAATCTAACCTGGCCCTATTACTCCATGACTGGAATAGTTCTGCAATCTGCGACTATTCTGAAAATGTTGTCCCTTAATTTTCATAATGTTACCACTTTTTTTTATGCTTTATTGTACTAGAACTCTTTTTTACTCATATTAGTAATTTTATCTCTCTAATACCCACCACCACAAAGTGTGTCCCTAATCTGTGTCTATACCAGATACCTTAAAAGGGTGACATGGTTTTATAAAAAAAAAAAAAAGAAGACCTCTTGATTTTCATATTCATAACAAACACATACTGTGTGGTGTATGTATCTATGTATGTATGTATGTGTTATGAATATATACATGTATGTACACAGGCCGTCTGCAAGAAAGGACAGAGCAGATTTTACTTCTTAAGGAAACTTAGGACGTCCGGCGTTTACAGCAAGTCTGTTCTGGAG